TTTGTTTATATACAATTTATTATCTTGATTTACTTTTCTAGACAAACATTTGTAATCAGTTTGAGAGATTACTTTTCACTATATTTCTCTCGACCTCAACTATAAATAGGCCTCAAGAATTAGTTATAAATCATTAAAGTTTGAAGTCAATATAATATAAAGTTTTTTAACTTTTCAACTAGTGAGGTTTTCTTCAACCTTCTTTTTAAGTAGGGAATTAATATTCACTTATCAAGATAACTTGTACCGTTTTCATCAGTCTTTTTCCTTGAATTGATTTTAACTTATCAAAGTTTTCCTTATAACGTTATAATCAATTTATTTATCTCTATTACCTTAATTTCAACACAAGTTGATTGTGAGTTAAATAGGAAGAATTTGTTTGGGAAATAAGTTTTTCGTACTAATTGTATATGTGTGAGTTTTAAATTGCATTATTGATCCTGGGTTCCGCATCAATAAGAAATATGAGTACTTACAAGTGGTTATAATATTCCAGAAAATAACTTCCAACATGACTGCTCCACTTTGTATTAAAATACCACGTTGTCTTTGTTGACAAATTATGAAGAAAGAATTAATTTACAAGGTTTTGAGTACTTATCTTACTTGAGAGATCGTCGGGTTTTCTCTTGATGAGTCCAAGCTATTTAACAAAATCTCACAAATCCTAAGATTATAGCAAATTGATACTAGTGTGAGTCATTAGGGTGAATTCCAAAATTTATTTGAGATTTTTTTAAAGACAAATCATGAAGATCGAGAACAGAATAGATTAAAGTTAGAATCTTTAATGGGCCGATTGAAGGAGTTACTATCCAGATTCTAAGTAAAGATCACAACAAATTGGTATCAGAGCAAATCGTTAAGAGATATCATGAAGACCGAGAAGGCATATTGAATTTCGAATGCTTAGTGGGGCCCATTGAAGGAGTTATCAACCTGTTTTGTGCAGCAGGAGATTGGCGAAGGAAGCAGTCAAGCTGATCATCCTCAGTCGCACGTCGCAGAACTCCCACACCCATTGATCGGTCAAAGCCCAACATACAATCTGCA